GGAAAAAAACTGAAATGTTTATATAGCGACATAGTGACTTTTCCTGGTAAAATGCTCTATTTATTTAAATTTAGTTGTGTCAGATATATCTTAAAAAAACTGTTTGGTTTGAAGTATACACCATCAACTGTACTTAGATTATATGTTCTGGATAGATGCAATCTCTTTATACAGTAAATCTCCTTGGTGTAGTATTTAATATAATATAAGATTAAAATATTTTATGTATTGGCTGTGAATTGGGCTTTAGGCCTCCAGCTGAATATAATATTCTGAATGAGGTCTTACCAGTGCATTGTTTAATTTGAAATAACATCCATTGAGAACTTTTTCTGTCTGCATGTAACATTCTGCACATAAATGTTGCCCACTATAAATGTTGCCACTGTTAGCTGAGTCTTGATTTTTTTATACATTTAAAAATTTCCTTTGCAGTGTTTACAGTTTACTACCCTCCTGTTTTTACATCATATGTAAACTTGACTAGTTAATTCATTATTCCAGAAAATAGACCATAAATATACATCAAGAATAATGGACCTAGTGCAGTTCCCTGTGGTACTCCAGAATTTACACAACTCCCATTTGAACATTCACCCTGTATCTGTGCTCTTTTAGGATTTATCAAAAACCTTCTGACAATTAGTGTTTTCTATAGAAAGATAGTTCTACTTAAAACATATATTTAGATTATTTAATGTATAATATTTATCTTAATATACAATTTCTCTGTTTATGTCCACTACTGCCATCATTTGTTCAAGAACTACAACAAGTTTTCTGAGCAAACCTTTTTCTTAATCTATGTTGGCATTTTGCTATTTCAATATTCTCTATCTACTTTTTGGTTAGCAGTTAGCCTTGTTTCATGAACACAAATGTCACAGGCCCCCAGACTCTGTTTTTGTAGGTTTCTAAAAAAGAAATCCTTTTTCATATGGGAAAGTAAAGCTGTTTAATTAAAATACAGAGGCAACTTACTAGCTCTGCAGTCTATTCTGCTTTGACAGTATTCATCCTCTTTCTGGCTATAGAATAATTGTCCTGACCTGCACTTGACCTGAAGATGTTCCATTAACTAAAATGTTATACTAGTACATTTCTTTGTATTGGAGTGAATAATTTCTTTTTAATGGAAATGGGACAAGAGTCAGAGAACACAAGTGCAAACCATAACAAAGTGCATTAAAAACTAAGAAGAGAGGAGGAACTTGAGGGAGTACAGTACAAACGTGCAAGCTACAGTATGATGGTTGAAGCTGCTTCTCAGGCTTCAATCAGGATATAGCTGTGTGTCATTTTGTTACTGAAAAATCAAATGAGCAAGACTGGCCTAATGGCCCACTTTTATTTGTAATTTATCGGATGTTCTTAAGTTTTGAGACAGCTAGCTCTTGCTGAAACTCACGTTTGTTGACAGGAAAAGTTATGTTGCTTGATTAACCATGCGATACAGTACAGTATGTTTTCATTTTACAGAAAAGCAAATGCTTTTGGTTGCAAGGCAACATGTAAATATACTGGATCTAATTTCCACATAGCACATACAAGTACAGGTAATTTAAGATTTAGCATAAAATTAAATAGTGAAAGAAACAGTTGTAATTATGTTGCCTTAATCTCTCTTTATTTCAAAGTGTTCTTTGTTCTAGTTTTTACACACACAGACTAGAAGAAGAAAAGCACGATGAGTTTACAGTGAGCTTCGTGAGAAGTCTGATAGGCAGAGTCTGCCATCTGCTGGGACTTTGGAACAACACCATGCTTTCATCTGCAGTCTTAAGCCATTTACAGTCTCAGTATGAACAGTACAAAGAACATTATAACTCTGGAGAGGTTGACTAAAAATAGTAAATTTAAAAATAGTTGCTAGCATAAGCATACATTATTACAGGTCAGAACAACAATGATTAATTGGCTCAAATATAAATGGAAAAACATCAGTGCAAGTTGGTACTTAGAATGCTACAAAATCATCTAGCCTTTACCTGTATATGGACATACTGTATTGTAGTTATAGGCAGACATGTCTTTAAATCTGAAAGTGGAATACCAAAAGGCCTAGCCAAAGGTGCTCCAAATTTTTCAAAGCTACTGAAACAATGAAGAAACAACTCCAACTAGACTCAGGGAAAAACAAACAGGTTGCAGAAGTGGACTGATGTTCACTAGCTTGTGTAGCAGATTTTTAGCAGATGTCATCAAAACTGACAACCTACATCCTGGCATCTGGAGTCTGGAGAAGGGAGTCCTACATCAGTGTTTCTTTTGGGATTGGAAGAAAACTGTTTTTCATTTAACATGTTTATTTTAGTGAGCAAAGTATGACCTTAAAAAATATTTTTCACCATTTTTAGATAGATGCTTGGGGGTGGAATTAAAGTTGGGGGCCGACACTATACTGAATGGATGTAGTGAGTAGGGGATCGGCAAAATTTATGAGTGAGGAGGCCATGCCCAGCTGAGACTAATACTGATGAACCCATGGGGCACAGTGAGTGTCAGTAACTGTGGAGGTGTCCTATGAGGACAGTGGGATAGAAAGGGGGAAAGAGGAGGAAAAAGGTGGGGAGTGGGGTGGATGATTTCACATTTCTTAATGTATTGTACCTCATGGAAAAGTGGTGTCCCTCTGTTGACTTTAAGTTAGGAGCTGGTCTGCGTTAGTTTAAGTTCTCTGCTTGTAAAGTCAGGGTTATATCCTAGTCTTCAATACAATCAGATGTGACTGGTTTATGGTTACTGGCTCTTCTGGACTTTTTTCAGCTAAGATCTGAATCTAGGATACAGATGTGGACCAAGGCTTAGCCAGCTTACTGTCTGAATATTTTTCTAGACCAGGGTCTAGCTTGCGGGAGCCTTGCAGTGAGCCTTACAGCCCAACTCTTCTTACAGAAACATTTCAGTATAACACTGTCAGTGATACCGGGTAGCTCTTCCATGTGCATGCTTGTTATTTTGAAAAATAACAACACCACATAATGGTAGTTCCCGCACCATGGTCATTTGTTTAAAAAAACACATATCTTTAAAACGAGCTTTATGTAGTCCTTCTTCTCTCACCTGTGGTTTGGACACAAGCCTGAAGCAATTCCGTGTTAATTTATATGTAAAACCTGGATGAAATAAAAACTTCAACTTGCCTGTCAACGAAACTACACAGACCTAGTGTAATATTGTGAGTTTTACGAATACTTACTCCTTCTCCTCCTTTTGTACCCCACCATTGAGTAAGGGGTTTGTAATTCTGTCATTGGAAGGTGGGCTGAAGTTCTGATTTAATCCAGACCAAAGATACGCCAAAATGAAAAAATGGGAAGAGCTGAACACATAACTTAAAGGACAGATAAAGGACAGATTTATTTATAAACTGAAAAGGTGAGATTTACATTGTACTCTTTCAAGCTCTTTGAAAAATTATATCATACACTATTAATAAAAATAGTGTTAAAAATAATTGTAGTCTATGTGGGAAGCATGGTGGCTACGGTGGTTAACATTGCAGCCTTTCAACACTGGAGCCTCAAGTTCACTTACAGACCTAGGGTGCTATCTGCATGGAGTTTGTACAGTAAGTTCTCCCTTCATGTGGGCTACTTCTGGCTGCTCTGGTTTCCTCCCACAATCCAAAAACATAATGGTAAATTCATTGGTTTCTGGGAAAATGGGCTGTGTTATACTGTAAGTGTGTGTGTTTCTGTCTGTGTGTACCCTGTAATAGACTGGTGTCCCATCCAGGGTGTATCCTGCATCCTACTTTGCCCGCTGTTTACCAGGATAGGCTCTGGACCCTCTACAACTCTTGAATTTGGATAAAGCTGTTAGAAAATTGAAGGAGGGATGTGCTGTTTGTATAAACCAAGAACAACCACTAGATGTCAGTTTTGAGTGTCAAAGAAGGCTGTTTAAAATAAATTCATTAAAAATGTCTTTATGTTTCCACGACGTTCTAATTATGAAATGGATTCCACACATATTTCTGTTTTTTTATGTTATATAGTACAACTGTATGTTATAAATATGGTTCCAAGCATCAGCTTAGACCAAGATCTTTTCTGATCTTTACTAAAAACTAAATTGACTGGTTCAAAGTCTCTTCGCTCTTTTTTTCAAGAGATTTGTTATGCTCACTGCAATTTGAAAGATTCACAGACTGACTGCCTGTCTGATTGATTGATTCCATATCAATGCTGTTAATTTCTAACCTGTGTTGTTAATTTCTAAATTTCTAATACTATTGTATTAGAATGCAATAACCAAGTGATTGATTGTCAAGTTAAAGTTTTTAAAAATTAGTTTATATTACATATGACTCATTTTTCAAATGTACACTTTTTTAAATGAAAAGAAAAGTGAAAAATGTTAATAGTTACAGCAGCTTGTGAATTTTGCTGTGCCCATTATATTGCATTGATGAAACTCTTAAAGCCTTTCTTTATAGTTTGAATACAAGCCTTGTATTTATTTACTCTGCAGTAGTAGTAAATAAGAATTACTTCTTACAGTAATAGTAGTTGTTTGTAACCCAAACATACAGTGTAGATATTATGTATCCAAAGATACCCAGATATTGTATATATTTTCCTATCAGTAAGAAAATATCATACAGTAAGAATATTTTCATTACCAGGTCTAAGCAAACTAACATATTACTTCACTCAATGTATTATATCGCATAACGGTATTTGCTATACTGTACATACAGTAAACTGCAAATATTATCCTCACATACTGTACAGGAGTTTGTCAGCATAGTAATTTGTCTTTTTTACAATACTTTTAAAGCCCTGTTTTCTGTATGATTGAACAGGCATGCCTGAACCACATTTTAAAAAAAAAATCATTCTGACATGGACACATATACATCTATCTACATACCATACAGTACATACATATATTGATGTTTTAAATCAAGACAGACTTTGGACAAAAGGGGAAGTCATATTCTAGAAAAAAAAGTCAAGGAAGTAGCTGCAAGCTGTTAAAAAGGGGAAGCTAAATTACACTTCCACATTGTACTCTGGCCTCTGCAAAAAATTCAAGTCTTGTAACCTCTTTAATGTAACACACATTAGTAATACATTGCGTTAAATATATATAGAATTTATTGTCAAGTTAAAGTTCCAATTTGCTGTTGATCAATTTTCTAAACTCATGTCACCTCCTGATACAAATTCTTCCAGAGTGATCACTTCAAAATATCCAAGAAGAGCCAGACCACATCCTGTTCACTTCACAAGCAGTTGAATATGGTTGCTTCTTTCTCCGAGCACAGAGACAGCTAGAAAAGGTTTTGGACCTACGTGAAAGGTAACGTTTTTGCTTATTGATTGACTACTGAATGTATGGATGAATTAATGTTGTGGGATTTTATTTTTTGAAAGAGAGTTTATGAAAAAGTAAAGTGCTAGCCACACTGTAAATGAAATACTTTGGATCAAAAGAAAAATGAAAGGCACCTGAGCAATTTTCCACTATTTGTTTTATTTAATTGACTGTGTGAGACCTCAAGTGAATCTCGATATGATTTAATGATAGTGTTGTATACATACCGTATGATATATATGTAGAGGCTCTTTGTACGTCGTTATTAATAGTAAAATATATTTTTCTTTTGACTTCTTTAATTTCTAATGTTTCGAAGCAAGCGCCAGAAGCAGTGACCGTTTTCTTTTTATTTTCTATTAAATTAACAAAAATGACCAGGACTATTAAACCTAAAATTACATTTAGGTTATCTACAGTACATATTATTTTTTCAGACAGGATAATTTTGTGTGTGTCAAGTAAACTCAAGTTTTAATATGTTAAGCTCATATCTTTTAAACACATTTTAAAGTAACTGATCTTTTACATTTAATTTAAAGTTACATTCTGTATATAGTCAGCTTTCTTGTAAATTACAGTGAACGTAGTGTAAATGTATTATTGAAATGGAGTCTGCTGCACATTGGAGTTGCTTTTACGTTTTTTGAACACAATATTTTTAGGATGTTTGTCCTGTAATACAGAGAAAGGGAACTAGTATTCACAGAGAAAGGAAGGCAGAATAGTTGGAAAGTGGAAAATAATGTTTTCGCAGTCAAACATTTCTTTTTAGCACTTCTTCTAAACCATCCCACCCATTTCTGATTAACACAAACTGTGAAATACTAATATTAGTCCTTAGCAATAACATGGAAGGTAGTATATTTAAACATATATGAAGCATATAAAGTTCTTTATTTTTTTTTTCAAATGTACTTTTAAATGCACTTTAGGGCACTGTTATGGCAGTGTTGAACAACATTATGTTCACTTAGCTCATATGATTTATTGATTTAAGATAATGCTTTATTTGATTCATATGTTTACAGACAGAAGTACCTGTACTGTATGCTTAACCTTGAAATTTACATCAAGAAAAAATATAATTGTACTAAAGTTTGCAAGTACAGTACTATTTGTTTACAATACATTAACAAGTGTTGAGTTATATCCCATGAGGGGAGTTGGGTTAGCACAGGTCCTGCCTAGGTACAATAAAATTAATAAAAAATGTATTTTAATAATTATACAGAAACAAAAGAAATATATGGAAAAATGTAACAAAGGGGATATTTAGTCCTATTTAAATTCCTGTTAATTAACAAAGAATATAAATCCTGAATTCTACTGCCATGATGACATTTCATACAGTGCAGGAACTCTACATAAACAGAAGGATTTTAGTGATTAATATTTTTCAGTTTATTTTTGTACATTTTTAAACCAAACATTCAAAAGGCAAGTTTTAATGCTCCGTGTATTAAATTAAATTATCTCCCTAGAAATTTGGCATCTAATAGTTGTAGTGATGTTGTCATGCAAAACAGAGAATCTTTAATCTAAGAGTTTGAGTTTCCTGCAGTAAGTCCAAGACCTACAGTACAGTATTGTCAATACAGTGCTCTTATTCATTTTGTCTCATTTTATGATGTTACTCCCATAAGTTCACCATTGTGTCTTTATTTCCATTCATGTGTACAGTAGCAGTATGAATTTACATACATGAAATATAGCATGCCTTTGAAAATAAATTGTTGCTAGTTTTAAATAATTGCTGTTTAACCATTGAGCTAATTAAACTAACCACGGGTAAATTAATAATCAGAAAACCCCTAAATAACAATGTAAGGGCTGCCATTTTATTTTCACATTTATTTTATGTGATTTTATTTCCAAATAGCTTTCATGTGAGTTACCAGTGAGAACTAGCAAAGTATTTGTCTCTTAAAAGTAATCAGGGAAGAATGATTCTGAAATTGTATGTATGCTGTAGAATCAGGTTCACAACATGTCATTTGTGTGTTTTTGCTTAATTAAAAAATGGCTTCCATTGGACTAACCCTAACACATTAATTGCTGGACCTCACGATTATAATAGACACACACTGCTGATTGCAAGGGGATAAAAACACTTTTGTTAATGATTAAGAAACTGGAAGCAAACTTTTCATGCCTAAACCTGACTTCCTTAGACTGATCTGTTTATAGCGTGACTTTAGGTTTCTGAACACAGTTGTATGAATTTGCATGCCTGAATGTAAAGGCTTTAGAGTTTTTGTTTCCAGTTAAGGTGAAAACCACAGGGTGGACGAGCAAGGTACCGTAAATAAACACTGTTCTCTTGTATTTTGCATGTCAAATTAAATGGCAGCATTCTGAAAACATTGAAATATTTTTTTTATTCTTATTATGTTAATACTGTCCTCAGGAAATTAATGAGAAAAATATATCATTAAAGTAGCATACATTGTACTTTTATTGCAATTTAAAAGTACAGCATTGAGCTGCAATGTAGGGAGAAGTAAATAGTATTCACAGAAAAAGGAAGGTGCAGCAGTAAAACCCAAAATAAAGTTTTGTTAAGCTATTTCTTTCAGCACCTCTTCTCAAGCATCACATTTATTCCAGATAAAGAAAAACTGTGGAAATACAATGGAAAGTGTTTTTTAGTACTGATTGTACATCATTTTGAGTCTTCAAATCTTTTGTGATAAAAAAATGAAATTATTTGTGTATTAAAATTGTGCTGGAAAGGAAGTAAACAATGGAAAGTGCAATATATTCATGCACAATTGCATAAATGTTACAATCTTTATTTGTGATATTTTGGTATTTTTAGCTTCATATTGTGGGTTATGAGGTTTTTATTTAGGCATTTGCATCTCTACTAGCACTGGACATGAGACCAGAGTTTCAATCACGCAACATCTTCTCAATTATTATTTTGCTGCTTTTGTTACACTCAATGACCCAATGTTAAGTATACCGTTTGAAAACATTACATTGCATTAGTGAAAACTGTACAGTATTCGTTATTTCCTTTACTACATGGGCTGTAAGATTATAATATGCCTATAATCATTCATTACTAATCATTGTTTAATATTTACAAATTTAGCTAGAATTATCTCACTTACAACTGTGAGCTACACCTTTTCCTCATTCAGTCATGTGTGTCATGTATTAACCCTACAGTATGCAGCTCCTATTGTAAAAGTCATTACTGGTAAAAATGTTGCATACTACAGTACAATTGTTTTCTCCTGACTTAAAATAGGCTTTAAACAATTTTTATACCACACATTACATACAGCATAATAGATTTTACCAGTATGCTACAGTACATATGAAAGTTCTGGCTTTTCAATTTGAAATTCTACATTTCAAGTGCATAAACTGTTTTAGAACAAGGCCTCTTGAACTTTAGATGTTTTTCTTTGTGAACTATGAACTTCAAACAATATCAGCCTATAAAAAATGGTAGATCACTTCCTTTATCACTGAGTAAAGTTCAGTGCATACGATATGCCTACTTTTAAAACATTTGACAGTTACGTTAGCAGACTACAGTAAAACTGATCACATTTTATCGTAGGATTAGAAACAGAATTCGGTCAGTGTTTTGCACCATCTGCATGAAATACTGTACATCCAAATCCAACAGAGCAACTCTGTGAGCACTGCAATTCAAAAGATTCATGTTCATCATGTGAATGAAATTCTACAGCTCATCACTTTAAGAAAACATTGTTGCTGTATACTGTAAGTGATCCATGCGTTTGACCATGATCATAACTCATTTATGTGGTAATATTACTGCACAATGACACATTATACAGTACATCAAGTTTAAGGATCCATAAGAAATTCCTTTTGAGATGCATAAACAAATTTACAATACATATAAAATAAAAAAATAATTTACAGTAATTATTCAGTAAAAGTTTTTTTCAACTGTTAATCAGAAGTATGTTTATTAAAAGTCCATTCCAACTTTCTGAATCGTATCAAAGTAGCTTGCAGATCTACAGAAACACAGAATGTTGATAGATCATCTATTTTTATTGTTTATTGTATTTTTATTTGAACATGCAACCTTTTAAATTTGCATTAAAAAGTATTAGACAAAACATAAAGCCAAATATCTTGGGATATATTGAATGTGTGAGCTTGTCATCGTCACAAAATGAACAGGAGCATCAATCAGTAACTTCTGTAACTTCAGTAACTTCTGTACTACAGTGTTGTAGTTCATCACTCTATTTGGAAAGCTGACTGGACAGAATTCTATTTTCTATTTCCATGAGATTTCAAGCCCTGTTAAGCAGTGATAGCAGTGACTTACTGTATCACTGCCAGTTTATTGACATTATACAGTATTAATGTAATCTTTCTGTATTGTGGTGTACTGCTTAAGGGGTTTACATGTGATTTGCAGCCTACAATATATACTGAAGTGTTACCAGACTTGCTCTGATATGAAAGAAATCTTTTGCCATAGATGAACATTATAAAAATTAATAATTACGCTATGTAGTCTGCATGTCTGCCCTGCACATGTAATCCAGGGTGTACCCTACCTTGCTCCCATTGCTTGCTGGGAAAGGCTTTGACTTCCTAAAAATGGTTAGTAAATGGATTGATGGATAACTACACCATGTAAATTGTATTACTGTATATAAATTGTTTTTCCAGTAACTGTCCAAATACAGACATGCAAGAGGGAAGAGCTAAGAAAAAATATAATGTGAAAGAAATTAAATGAAATATTGAAAAAGAAGGAGCCACATAAAAAAGAAAGAGAGCTATACTGCTCATACCACAAAACTCTTACAAAGAAAGATCTATAATATGGGAACCAATTGTTCTCTGTAGTGCTAAAATATTTGTCAAAAATAATATATTTTTAATCTCTGGAGCAGATTTAAAGTCCAGTATCATGACTACATAAACATGTTTAACTTTAATAATATAGAATGAAACAAATGTTCAAAATAATCAAA